TAAAATCTTTCCTTAAACAAATGAGTAATAATTTTTAAGATTAAAGTGAAACACAAGATCATAGCCATACTTATTGTTTAATTTACTAATATTTTCCATTGCAAAACCACTAATCCTTCTGAGTCATCAATTTAAGAAGAAATTTCACTATATGCTTCCACTCCTCCCTACATTCCTTTGTCTATTGCATATGAGGACAAAAATAAGATATGAAAAACAAGTTTCTTTAAAACCAAAATTTTTAAACTTTGCATTAACTCAAAAGACCCTGCTCTAAAGTCTGTAAATTTCTAATATATTTCTATCATCCACTGTAGGAATACAAATTTAGAAATAGAACTGCCTCCTTAAACTGACTCCACATATTAATGATCACAAGCTTTGGAAAAGCTTTAGAAAATACTAAATCATCGCATTTATCAAGATAAGGGATTTTATGTTGCTATTTGTCAGTGCCTATGAATAAATCTATTCTGGCATCTTTGTTAGAAGCAGGCCCTGTAGCTGTAGTCCTAGCTACTCAGAGGCTGAGGCAGAAGAATCATTTGAGCCCAGGAGTTCAAAGGCAGCCTGGGCAACATAGATTCGGTCTCAAAAAAAAGAAAAGAAACCTTTGCTAGAAGTATTTACCTTCCTGCTCCATTCCTCCCACCCCATAATGGCCTGATTTCTCCATACCTAAAATCTGTTGCTCAAAAAGAGGCACTAGACAATTCTGCAGTTTATCTTAAGTCTCCTTTAGAAGTTCACTATATTAAAATCAAAGCAGATGTCAGTAAGTTAATAGTAAAAAATTTTACGAAGTATATACTAGACAATGTACATTCATGATATAATTTAACAGCACCTTTGAGACAAACTAAAACAAGAAGAAATTTAATCTTATTTAAGTAAAGTATCCAGCATCGTACAGTTAATAACAGGGAGGGCTAGAACCTAAACCTAGTTTTTTATGATTGGGGAGTCTATTCATGTAGTCTGGACTATCCTGCTTTATATTCACTTTCCATTTAGTTTTTAAAATACTTTCAAATAAGGTATCCGGTTTCTCCTCATTGAAACTCACAATATCCTTGAGAGGAAGGTTTATAAGTGTCAAACCCCTACCACTCAGCTTTAAAGGCATGTAATAAGGTAGCAGAGCTGAATGAAGATCCTTTGACTGTGGGGTGTAGTAATATATCTATAATCCTAGCAATTACTTGGGAGGCTAAGGCAGGAGGATTGCAAATTCCAGTTCAGCTTAGGCAACTTAGTGAAACCTTGCCTCAAAATAAAATTTTTTTAAAAGAGCAGGGACATAGCCCAGCAGTAGCTTGCCTAGCATGTGCAAGACTGGGGTTCAAGCCTCAGAATAACACCCCCCCCAAAAAAATATCAGGGGACTTTTAGTCTAGCAACATGCTACTTGTGGCTTATGCAGTCACTTTTTTTTTCAGTACAACTCATTCCTCTTCCTTTCCCTGTCATATCTGGATGACTACCATACCCATCAGTGAACATACATGTGGTAAAGGGTAAGTTGGTCACTGCACATGAGGTTTATATCTACTGACTCTGATTTGGAAAATTACTGACTTTTTTTTAAAAAAGCTAATACTTAGTGGACAACCTTGGAGCTATGATCTACAAGAGCTAAAGTGGTTTAATCTTGTTTGATTGTTCAACATTCACTCAATAAACAATTTACTGAGTATCTATCAGATACGTCAGCATTCTTGCACAGAAGACACAATAGCTCCTTGGACTCCTAGGAGCTTTACAGTTTACTGAGAAACAGTCTAGCAAACAGTGGCTCTAACCATGGGGGAAAGAAGCATCCTTGGAGGTACTGATAATGATAATCTACAAAGGCAGTGAAAACAAGACCTCAGAGTAAGTTGTTTAATGGGAGACTATAGCACAATTCGCCAAATGTTAAGATTTCTACATTAACACTCATAGATCATTAACACTGATTGAGCTCATGGTGACAATCTCCTCATATCTTTTGGAAAATTAACTTTTCAATATAACTTTAAACATATGTCATTTTTGGTGGGCAAATATTTATTTGTTAGACTATTAAAAAAACCTGATAGAGCTAGTTTCATAAATGTCTTCCAAGCTTCAAGTCACTGTGTATATATACATGAACGGTGTACGTTGAAGCTCTCTTTTTATATCCAACATCTGCAGCAATTCAGTTACCATTCCTGCTGCTAATCTTCCAGACTTCATCAGTGGTCTAAGTAACTGCTTTAAGTTCCCTAAAATTGGAAAAACTGTGAAGTAAAACTGCAGACTCATTCAACCTCTTTCATATTAACATTTTCCTCTCCAGTACTCAATACTTTTTAGCTGGTTTTCTCTTGTCCATTTTGGTGCACCTGGACAGAACTGGCTTGGACTTCCAGAACACTAAAGTGATTGTCCCTATTTGATGGAATGTCACCCGGGCAAGGAAGCAACATTTCTTATTTTTTTCTTTCCTCTCAGGAGAACCTTACTCTGGAGAAAAGTAATGGATAAAACTATAGTACTGTACTTATATCTGTAACAGGCCTAGCTACATAGACCTATCAATAAATTAGTGCCATTGTCCAGTATGGGTCATAAATACAAAATGTTAAAATTGTAAATCCATGAAAGACAATAGTGATCTTCTTTATTACTTGGGCATAACAAGACCAAGGTTATGTTTTCTAGTAAGGAGTATCAAAAGGCCAATTTTTCTATTTTGTTATATTGCTTCTATCCTAGAGTTCTGATTTTGAGCTCATCTTAACAGTGAGACCCGTTTATTGTAGAGAATTTGAAAGATACAAAAAAGTCAGTCTCATCCACTGCTGAAAGATAATAGTTCCATATTCATTTTTTCAGCTGACTTTTTAGTAGATTCCTCAATTTTACGGCTAGAAAACTACAAGGTTTAACTGAGAACATGATTTTTCATATTAAGAAAATGTGTAATTTAAATTTTAAAAATCAAATTTCTATTTAAAAGAAACAACTCTGTAAGTTGGCATATTAAGTTTACCCCCAAACTAAAATACATTCTTTCCTAAAGTACAATGTTTGGGGTCAAAACATTGTCTACACCATTACATATAAAATGGGAGTACACTGGGTTGAGCAAAAACCTAGGCAAAACAATTTCTATATTTTCACAAAATACTATGCACCAAAATCAGAAGAGGTCACCTAGTTTTACATAGGGAGAAAGCAAAGGAGGACTATAACTGCTACTTAACATAAATTTACCAGAAAGCTGGTCAAGAAACTGACTAGGAATTTAGCAGGATTTTAGGAAGGAATGACAAAGAGGAGAAGACGCAAGGCAGAAAACATGAAGTCAGAAATATCCTGACTTAACTCTTCTTGCCTTCCAAGTCATGATCAAACAGATTTGGTTGAATTATACGTCCAGTCTAATCAGTTTCCCAAGAGTCATTTCCCTTTCAGAAAAACCTGGCCACTCTTCCATAAGCTAGCCTGGGCCTCCTGCACATCACGACACAGGCAACAGCATCTTTCAGTGCTCCCCCATTCAATCGAGACTGTCGCATTAACAACACCGTTTTGAAGACAGTACATTTTTATTTCTTCGACTATCTTTTCTCCTGGAGAAAATGGTAAAAGTCCTGCTTCCTAGTACCACCCGAAGCATGTGAAAATCCACAGAACTTCTCTCGTCAGATAAAATCCTTAGAATTACTGAGAAAGCACATTTGGAAGGAAGCTTTCCAGTGACTGCGGTGAGGGCTGTATCAGTGACATTCCCTCCCAAGCCTATCTCACTGGAGATGCCTCTGCTTCCAGGGATTTTCCTACCCTCATTCGGGTAAGGGCCTTAGCCAAAGAACGAGCTTTGGGGAATGAGACTTGGGGGCTGCTGCAGACTCCAAGGAATGGCTGAAGTACTCCTACCAGGTGGAGCCCCAAAGACTTCAGTAGGGAACCATAATGGCCGCACTCACTCTCAACCTCGGGAAAGGTGGTCCTCTCAACTCCTAGGCACAAGGGCGACCACAGGAGGGATCGGGGGTCAGGAGATCTGGAGAAATGAGCGCCTGGCCAGTGTAGGGTGACAGCAACGAGGAAGCCCCAAGCAGTGAAAGCCGCCATTCACACTCTCCCTTCTTTACAGCCTCCACCCCTTCTACTACCCCAGTCAGTCACAAGGTGGCCGCTCACCTGCTGAGACTGGAAAAGCAGACACTTCCGACCGCCGACCCGGAGGCTCTGTCACTGTGGGAGGGGATGTCTTCAACTGCAGGGGGGGCGGGTCCAGCTAGACACGTGACCTCGAGCTCCGCCCTGTCTCCCCCATCCTGGCTCGCGGCGTCTCACGGACTTGAACCTTAGCGGATCGCTTGAATATTAATGTATTTGGGATTAAAGGAAAAAATAAACATACATTTTTACAAAGACTGTTGTGAGATGCAGTGCAGAAAGCGAGGATGGCAAGGGTTAAAGAGCATCGCTAAGGAAGTGACGTTCAAGCCATAATCTAGGGACCGGAAATGGCAGAGTTCGGTATTTCTGGGCCCCGCCGGCAAAATCCAGCGCTGTGAGGTTTGGACCAGTCACGTGATTGTAAAACGAGGTGTACAGAAGAGGAGCTAAGTTACCGGGCCGATTGTTAATTACGTTTGTTTTTAAAAAATCACCGAATATATTTGACTTTTCCAGACTTCTTTACATTCATAAGAGCCATTTATAATACCCTATTAGGATACAAGAGCATTTGAAGGTCACCAGAGACGCCAGACTGCGAATAACGGGGTCAAGAAAGAATGACCTTGCTGATGTGGAAGAGGGTTGGGAAAAATCCGGATTTTACCGCCAGGGCCTACCAAGCGTGCCCCACAAGAAGTGTCTTAAGGGGTGAGAGGCGGGGCTTGACACCCGGAGGCCCAACCCAGGAGAAAGATGGAGGCCCAGGAGTGGAGGGGGAGGGGTGCGCGGAGGCAAGCAGTGCGGCTGCGCGTGAGGCGGCCGACGCGCCGCGCGCAGAGGGGGCGGGGTGAAAGGTCACCGCGCGGCGGCGGGTCTGGCTGGCGGCGGGCGGGAGGATAGTGCCCCGTGTGCACGTGTGGAGGAGCGGAGGTACCTGCGCGCCGGCGGGAGACGTCCCTGCCCGGTCCGTAGATTCAGGGCCGTGCTCGACTTTTGCGGCCTCCGTCACCCCCTCAACTTCTACCCTAGGCGAGGAGGCCGGCTTGGGTTGAGTGGCCCCAGCGGAGGGCGCGGAGAGCTCAGAGCGGCGGGGACGACGGCCTCTGCAGGCGGGGAAGATGAAAGGGTGAGGAAGGGCAGCCGGGCAGGGGCCAGCGGGCAAGGTAGAAGGGCCGGGCCCGTGTGAACGGAGTGCTGCGAAGGAAGGGAGAGACAGCGAAGCGGGGCGGAGGGAGAGTTCTGGGCTTCTCGGTTGAACTCCACTCCCGGAGGGGGCGGAGGCAAGGCGAGGCTGTTGGCGGGCTGAAAGGCCGACGGAGGAGAGAGGAAGGTAACCAGGACTGCGGCCCGGAGGACGAGTGTGGGCTGACTAGGGCAGCAGGGAAGAGTTATTGTGAGGCGCCTGGGGCCTCCTAGCCGGCAACGCACGGCTGGGCCACCTCCAGCCCACTATTTCAGGTGCAGTGGTCTGGTTATCCTGTTGTTCAAGTCCAGGCTGGACGCTGGAACTGCTGTGTTTGACATCTTTCGGCTTTATTCCCACTTGGGAGCCTTGCAGAACCTTCTGGAGGAAGAAGGAGTTGGAATAAAGAGCCTAGGGATGAGTATTAACAGCTAATGACTCAACTAGATTTGGGTTGGGTCAGAGCGAGTGGAGGAGGGGGAATGAGCTCGATTTGGGGTGCCAGCATGTTTAAGGAAGTATTTGCATCAGTAGATGGAGCTGTTGCTTTCAACAGTTTGAATTGCCCCTGACTTCAGTGAGGGGCTTCCTGATTACTATGTTTTTCTTCAGTCTGTTGGCAAAGTTAAGGTTCGATCTTTCAGCCACCGTCTTGAATAAAATGAGGAATTATTTTGGTTTACCTGTTTTTATTTGAATAAAATGTTTCCTTATCATTAAGTTAGATACTGCAACAATACTAGTTACACAGCACTATATAAAGCTTTGCTTTAAAAAGCCGTTTGGGAGTTTGCCTTTACAATCTTTTGAGAATAAAATGGAAGCTTGTAAACGTTAAAAGCTTTCTGAGATGCTCCAGGTGATTTTTTTTCTTTTAAATTGATTAAGGAGCGCAAGCGCAAGGACCTGAGTTCGATCCCCGGCACCAAAAAAAAAAAAAAAAAAAAAAATTGATTAAGGAATTGTAACTATGCTGGAAGTTAGTGAAACTATTTAAACTATTCATCAGCTCTTTTGAGACTGAAATCACTTTTCAAAGTAATCTCTTGCTGCCTAAAATAAGGGCCTAAATAGTATTTCCATGTACCTGTATTTGAACGCACCTACAAGATTCTGAGAAAAGTTTTATTTGCTCTTAGGTCTATTGCATGTATTTTTTACTCTGATTTTGCATTAAGTACTGCATATTCATTGCAGTGTTGAACTGCATATCTTGGAAGTATTTGCTCCACTTAAATCTTGATTCAGGAAGTTTGACTATTTCATGTGTTATACAACATATTTAGAGAGTCTTGTTTTTCTGGTAGGCTGTATTCCTTGAGTATAGATGCTCTCTGACTTCATTTTTTTGTATTTTCAATGCCATGTACTTAATACATATTTATCACATTCTGTTAAAGTAATAAGGCTGAAGCGTTTCTCGTGTTGCAATTGCCATGGATTAAAGGGGGGGTCTTCCAAGAGATTATTCTGGATGTGTAGATCCAAAATTTAGCTCTGTCTCCATAGAGTGTAAGAATCTTTCTGATACCTAACTTGGCAACTGAGATGGGGCCGTTGATATTACTGAGTGTAAATTATTACACTGAGTGTAAATTAATACACTCATGAAACAATTGTCTTTTCATTTTTAGTGAATATTTAAGTGTAACGTGATGGATGCAGATACCTAGAAAAGACTAACGACTAATTTAGAGACTTTTTTTTTTTTTTTTTTGATGGTGGTGGTGGTGTTGGTGGTGGAGTTTGTGATGCTAACCCAGGGCCTCAGGCATGCTAGGGAAGCACTGTACCACTGAGCTACTAAATTTAGAGGAAACCTGAGTTTTGGAAATCTCGTGCCAGCAACTCTGCATGAAATGTTGCTTCCTTTAGGCTGAGGTTGCTTGTTTTTATGAACCAGGGACGTTATGGCTTGAATTTGTGAATGGTAAGCTGATTGTTTTTATCTTTTAGTCCTTTCTAGGGAAGAGGATATTCAAGCAAGATGTTTGCCATAGACAGCCATGACTGTGGTGGCAATGTAATTAGTCAATAGTATAATAGAAAGAAAAACTAACCTTTTTATCCTTCAATTTTAGAAAAGAAATGCAAATTATAATAAAAATGGCTTTAACATGAATACTTGTGACCAAAGTATAGGCAGAAAAGTAGGTAACAAAACTGTAAGTGTGTAACAGTGTAGTTTACTTAAAATATCTAAAGGAGCCATTTTGACCAAATGTTACTAGAAAATACAATTGAAATATAAGATCCTGCAGTCAGAAACAAAACTATTTTGAAGAATTCAGAATAGTACTTGCCTCTAGTAGCATTTGGACTAGGAAGGGGTACAGGAAAGTGCTGGAAATAGTCTGTGTCTTTATCTGTGTGATTGATTACATAGGATATATATGTACACACGCAATAATATATATGTAAAAAAATGAGTTATAAACAAGATTTGTGGTCTTTGCTGTATGTATCTTATATGTCAGTAAAACATTTTTAAGATTATATTACTGTTTTTGTCAACAAGGAAAAGTCAGGCTAAAATAGCACTTGACAATTTTTATAAACCTGCAATTCATACTCCTTGCTTTGTGAAACCAGTAGTTTATGTTTGTTGATTGAGATGCTGAATCTTAACAAATACTTTCTAAAGTCCCCTTTGCTATGTAGAGATCAGTTCATATAAAAAATAACTTACATATGCTACAGTTTTCTAAAAAATATCCATTTATTGCCCTACTACAAAAGAGAAATGGAAAAGTAAGTGATACAATCTTAGTATGCACCGGTCAGGTACAGCTATACTGCAAAACATAAGACAGTTGTTTGCATCTATCTGTAAAAAGAATCATTATTTAAGAACTCCTCTCAACAAATTAGGAATCTTTTTTTTTTTTTTTCCCCCCTCCGGTACCGGGGATTGAACTCTGGTCCTTGCGCTTGTGAGGCGGGCGCTGGAACCACTGAGCTAAATCCCTGGCCCTAAAAAGAATCATTATATAATTTAGAAAGTACCTGTAACCTACACAGGTTTGGGTACTGGTGACCTGTGCTGTATTGCCGTTAGTGGTGTGATTTCTTTTCCTAAACTTGTGGGCAACTCTTAGAAAAGCTCTTAACAAAAGGTACTTAAGAATTTCTTTGTTGGAAAAGATTTTAAAGGTTATCGAGGGGGCTGAGTACTTGTCTGTTGCATCAAGATATATATTCCTTGATTATCATTTTTAACATCCTGATTATTGCTGAGTTTTAGTGCACATGTGATCTGTAGAATGGGTAAGTGGGATTACTGTTATAATTGGTTTACGTTATATGTTCCTGTTATTGAGCTTTGTGGCCCAATTAATTTTACCTTATAGGACATTAATTATCATCAATTAAAATTTCCCACTGTGTGTGGTGTCACAAACTTATCCCAGCACTCAGGAGGCTGAAGCAGGACAGGAGTTCGAGGCCAGCCTTAACTACATATATAGCAAGACCCTGCCTCAAAACAATTTATTTTTCTTCCTAAGCTCATAAAGTATTATTTTTCAAAGCCAGTGCTTTTGCCAGATCAAACTAATACCTGTATTAAATTTCACTTTGGTGTTTCGTCCTGTAAAAATATGAATTTTCTCTTTTAGATATTAACTCTAGCTTTCAACTTTGAGACTTCTGAAGAGATGTACTTAACCGATTATTCAAATGTTTTTCCTTCGTCTTTTTAAAGAAATATGGCCTACAATAACCGATAGAGCTGCAGTAGTAGCCAGTGGAACCATTCTTTCCGTCAAGAATATTAGCATTGTATGGATTATAGTTTAAAGGTACAAAATTACACAAAGGTGCTATCGTCCACCCTGCTTTCCTTTTTATTTTTTCTATCAACTAGTTAAATTAATTCAGTGCTTAACTTGCTCTCAAAACTTTAGTCCTGTCTAGTGCAGTAGTTATGATTGGGTATTGAGCAGTTGAAATATGCCTTTGTGGCTGAGTAACTGCTGAATATTTAAGTTTAATAAAAAGTTAATTTTACATTAAAAAAAATTTTTTTTTTTGCATCGGGGATCGAACTCGGGACCTTGCGCATACATTAAAATTTTAAAACTCAAGTTATTGGACAGTTTTTAAGAATGTTTGAGACAACTCGGAAATGTAGATCTACTGTAAGTTTTATGAAAGGAAAATACATAAAAATTTACATTGATAAAGCTGGAATTTTAAAACTTCGTATAAAAGGGGTTTAAAAATGGTTAGTCATTAGTGTGTTGTTTTGGAAACATGTTGAAATGATTTCTCCTGTTTACCTTTTAATGTGGAGCCTAGAAAACTTTAAATTATGTATCTACCTGAAATTATTACTGCTAAACTGCTTTTTTAAAAAAGTGGTATAAAAACAAGAATTCTTCCCTAGAATCTAGTTTAAATGGTAGATATTTTTGAATGTTTCAACTTATGGGCCAACAGTTAATTTATAACTGTTTATACCTCTGTGGCAAAGGACTCTGAGGCCACCATTCCAGTTTTTTGTGTTAATAAGATCTACATATATTTGGATCTCTGTGTAGCCCAGGCTGGCCTGGAACTCTGCGATCCGATCCTCCTGCCCTACCCTCACTTCTGGTGGGATTACAGGCACATGCTACCACCCCCGACTACCACTCCAGTGTTTGATTGAAGTGTTCTATTTCAATCGTCTTGTCTGCTGTAGATGGAGAATATAACTGGCAGTGTGTATATCCCTTCTTTGAGCTAGTGCAACCTGAGTTCTGCTGCTGTTCCTAAAGCTGTAAGAAACCCCAGAGTGTTTCAAGTCCTTAGGCTTCTCATCCCAGCCCCCTAAATGCTGTAGTGAGTGCTTGTTCTTAAAACTACAGGACATGAATCCTTATTTCTTCCAGTTAATTTTCTAGGTGTGAATTTTTTGGATCAAAAGATACTTTTTTGTAAACTCCAATGTTTGTTGACAA